CAAATCTAGACGTCTTTTGGAAGACGTCTAGATTTGTCTTACAAATCTAGCCGTTTAGCCCAAAACGACTCGCTGTCGTGCACGAAGGACAGTACAGTTGTAGTGTTACACTGTAATTGTATTGCCCTTCCTGCACGGCAGCTTGCTGTTTTGGGTGGTCCCCGAAATGCAGGTCCCCGACTGGCAGTATTAAGGTAAATGATTAAGTAGAAGAAATTTACCGAAGGTTTAAACGTTCCTTCGGTAGCCTATCGGTACCGGCAACTGTTTTCGAGAGTCACTCACACCCTTTGGGTTCGTCCCTGAGTTGTCGCAAGCTAGGGACGATCCCACAGCAAACACCAAAGGGCGTGGCTTTTCACAATACAGTTGCCGTTACCATTCGGCCACGGAGGAAAAGTTAAACTCAACCGACAAATCGGACTTGTCTTTCCGCACTCGTTAGCATGCAAATGAGTGCACACGGTAAACGCTCCTCAGGAGTGTTTTTTGAGCGAAATAAAAATTAAATCATAAAGGAAAGAAATATAAGGAATATCTGAGCTCAATTTTAGGGCTAAAAACCATCCATTTCAGCTAGAATTAAACTTTAAAGCTTCGTATTTAAAATATTAGACATTATACACACGGGTATTTACCAGTGAACAATCGTATTCTGACGTCATTTGCCCCTGCACTTCGAAGAAGAAGGACCTTCGGCTTCTGCGCTTCTCGACCAAAAATTAATGAACCACAAGCATTGATTTTCTGCCAAGGAACGAGTATAAATACCAATCAAATACCATAGTAGTGTCGAGGAACGTGTGAGAGACGTTTGGAAGACATTTTGAAGAAAATGACGAAGAAATGGCGGTAAAATTGCGAAGACCAATTCGGCCAGGTCGAAGGAATTCCAAACCAAGATGGCGTCGCCTTCTTCTCCAATCTGAAAATGCATTGAAAGTCACTTTAGTTGGGTTGGATATCAACAATATAGGATATTTATTACACATGTAAGTTTTCCTACAACTTTTTAAGTATGGAAAAGTACAATATTTTATTTACAAAAATTTATATTATTTTAGTAAAAATTTCTACCTGATCATTAATAATAAAGAGTTATATACTCCAAGACAAAGACAAGTTTATTACATGTTATTGTTAATACGTCAAAACCAATCATCTTGACATCATCTTAAAATGTCGATCTCAACAGTCGAAAAAAACTGGTATAAAAACTGACAAAGAAGCCCCCCCCCCTGTATAATCCTCACGTTTTCTCTTGTTGTATATTTGTACAAAGTTTATTAGGCCTAAAAGTATTGACAATTTTTTTTTCTAGAAAGACTGCGAAAGAAATTACAAAACCAAACCATGAAGTCTAGAAAAATAATTACGTGAACCGTTTCTGGTACGTTCTGTATATAATTGTTATCTAAAAATCCATGTGTATTTTAAAAATCCATATGTATTTTAGCTTTACAATTGGTTCAGGCTTTCAAAAACATTTTATTCTATATATAATTGTAAAATTAATATATTTATGACAATTATATTATTACTTTTTCTATAGCAAGATCGTCAAAGAACCGTAGAAAATGACACCAATATATGATGACAGAAAAGATCAAAGGAAAATGTCGCTCAGGTTAATCAGAGGGTCTAGATGGGGTGCTGCCCAAAACAGTAAACATTTGATTTTTTAGTAATTTAACAGTAACAGTAAAAAATTTCACATAATAGTAAAATTTTGCTAATTTCACGAAGACGTAAAAAAGCACTTAATTATATGTAGGAAGCAAATGCACAGTCTCTAAGACCATCAAAGACATATTTTGCATATTTTGTAATTGGCACACCAGGCCCATATGCACATGTGCTGGCCTGCATGAAGGCAAAGATGCAGGTGCTGGGCAAGGTGACAAGTAATGTAAAAGCTATAAAGATCTGTAAGACCTGTAAACACACTCTGACATCGCTTTTAATATAGTTTCGTATTCTTTTGTCTGAAATTTAGTAGTTTAAAGCCCTTTTTGAAATGCATTAGACTTTTTATAATAATTACAACACTTAACTGCGAAGTCTTCCATGACAGTAAACAACAAAATATTTAGCGTTTCAACATTAAACACTATAGAATATGGGCCGTCAACACTTAACATTAAACCCCATCTAGACCCTCCGTTAAGTACACAATGCTTAAGCGGCGTAGGTGAGTGCACAGTTGTTTATGGGCGGCCGTTACCACCAAAAATACTACACGTATGAAATGACCCATTGCACATGACGTCACACCGCCGGTGACGATGCATCTGGAGGACAAATTAGCAATCTACGCATAATATAATTTGTAAAACTAATTTTGTAAAACTTTAAAATAATTTTGTATTAAAAAGGTTAATTTCTGCGCTGTATGTGGTTGTTGTACCCGAACAGATACTGTTAGAGAGCATCTGGAGGACACTCAAAGGATTTGTGACGTCAGTGCAAAGGGTCTATAGCTAGGGTGAACACCAAACGTGATTGGCTGATTTGTGGTCACGTGACTTCAGATAAATGGCATGTATCCCGCCGGGCAACAAGTGAAAAATTGTTGCCCGTTCCGACCGGCTACGTACATAAATAAACAAAATGGCGGCACAACTAGCATAATCAGAAACTATACGTTTTCCAAGTTTGTGTTCAAATAAAGAATGTAAAAGAGAAGAAAAATGCACAACAGGCAACAGGATATGCTGCTGAAACCGTTTAAGTAGGTCCTTCAGATTAATTTTAAAGTTTTTGTCACGAAATACAATTCAATTGTTATGAATATTGATCTTTGTTCGTCGGGAAAACAAAACAAACTATTTCCCTCGGGAGCAGACATGAAGTGTATAATAGTGTGGTTTCTCGTGCAATTTGGGAAAACATACACTCGTGAGTTTTTCAAAGAAGTCAACTGAAGTGCACTCGTCATTCAGACTCGTGCAATTTTGATCGTCATTGAGAAACTCACTCGTGCATGTTTTTCCAAATTGCACTAGAAACCATACTTCAACCTAGTATACTAAAGGTTTTCTGATAAAAATAATCACACAAGTTACACAAGTATAAATTAAAGAGTAGTAATTTTTTGCTCTTTTCAAATGAAAAATTTCAATTAAATTGTTATATACATTGAAAGTGTGCAAAAAGTGGTCAAAAAGTAAACTTTATTAACATCGCTAATATCTGCCGCCATGTTGATTTTTCCTGCCTCGTTTCCAGGCTCTGCTCTTGTTTTATTAATTGCACTGCAGTAATTTCAAAAATAATTGCACTGCTCTTAACCAATTAGAATTGATTAATTTGTTATATCTACAGATGTGACGTGTAGTTACTTTTGGGCTCTGCCAACTTGTCGTTTATTAATTTGTTCTACCAGTCACCCATAAAGGGGAAAAATGAACTGAAGAACAAATACATATATTATACGACAAAACATTTATAGCAATATGTCAGCATGCAAAGAAATATGAATGTTAATTGTTCACCTCAGAAAACCTCCAAGCAGGAATAAGTCGTTTATTGTCACCTGAAAATATTTTAATATATCCGAAGAATGTGGTTGTTGCTTTGTTCCCTACTAGGCGTGAATCTTGTTGCATTTCCGCTAGGAAGACGCCCTTCGAGCCTGAAATAATGCTATGACTTTCTCCTATCTCCCGTACTATCAGTGAACCGCTTAGACAATTTGGCATTTTTGTCCGTGTACAATGGCATGTTATGCTTGGATTAGCAGCGTTGTTTAAAATTTTAATAGTTTATTTTGATCTTTTATGGTGCCGTTCGTCTTTCGAAATTCGAATTCTCTGTTAGTCACGAATTAATTCGAGCCTCACTGAGAAAATGACACCTCTGACTTAATTGGCTTATTGATAGACACATAAAGTTTCCTGACTGACAGACGGAATAAATACAACACGACAAATGCCTCGACGCTTTTAACGCTCTCATGTGAAACACCGCGCATTATTTTACTGAAGTCAAGACTGCCTTGATGCACTTTGCGTGTTTGCGCAACTGATTGAAAAAACCGCGCAAATTCCTTCATTTAATTCCGCTAAGTCTGCAACACAAGGCAGGGGAATTTAGATCAATATCAGTGTCAGTCGGTAAAAAGGACATTACACAGTTTGGATATCAACATCGTCCAATAATGCTGCTCTTACTTGGTCTGCTTTTCGTCCAGTTTATTATCCTATCTTCCGCGCAGTTTTGCGATCAACGAGCAAACGGCGGAGAATTGTTGTGCTGTAAAGGGACGAATAATTCATGTTGGGTGCGCGTGCCTTCATCACCAGAGAATGCTTTACCGGCGGGTCAAACAAGGGTTTGCTACTGTGATGAATATTGTCGTACAACTGGTGATTGCTGTTCAGATTTGAAACGTGTTGAAGCCGAGTGTCGAGGTTTGAAAATCATTTAAAATTCTTTTATCATTTACACTTCTGAGCACTGTAAAATTAAGTTCTTATTCTAATTTGTCAAGTAGTGTAGTTTTAATTCACTCAAATGCATACATTGTAATTTCTTTTAATTTTCTGTCTGTATAGAAAAAATATACATGCGTGAAATTATATTACAGGTATGGATACTAGTGTGTCTCACGAATATTAATTCAATATATGACATGAGTTGGCAAGATTTCTGCCGAAATATTGGATCGTTTTTTTTTACTACAACAATGAAAAGATATTTTTAACTGTATAGCATTTGTTCAAAATTTATAGGGCTATACGGTAGTGTCCAATTTCTCAATCCTGAGAAAGTCATTAACCTGTATTCAATACTTTTCCTTTGTGTAATACAAAGTTAAAAGCTATGTGGCAGTTAAGAATTATTCGAAATTTAGATGCGAAGCAGAATATAGTGTCGTATATTTAAAATTTGAGAAATATTTAACCTAATGAGAAAAATCATCAGGTGTTTGACGACAGTGAATAAAAGCTTGACAGTGAATTTAATCCTTAATGATTTAGCAGCTGTCGTGACTAAATGTTAATGACGATTTCTGCGCGTTAACACTTCTACTCATCATAATAAATGGTTGTGTGTACTTTTTATTATCAAACAGAACAGTTTGTTTACAAAGGCATAACATTTTTTTGAAGCACGCTGACCGCGTGGCCTTGATTTGCCTTGAGCACTTGGCATCTAATTCGCTGCTTGTGTTATCTGATCTGCATTTATTGCGCTCGAGAGATTTATTTCATAGTAGAATCGATTTCACATCAGATAAATTTTCTGCCAGCTGAATTGACGTGTCACTATAAAGGCAAGATTATTTTGCGCATTTTTCACTTAATAAGAAAGATTGCACGAGTGCTTCTTTGTTTGTGAAACGCTTTTCATCCAAGATATTAAAGCTGCATGCTGTCAATGCAACAGAAGCACGCGCATTCTTATTCATTACTTTCGCATGGCCGCCTGCCCATTTCAAAAAACAACAAAACACCCATCCGGCAATTTACGCTTCTCGTGGTGGGAAATTTGTATCATCCGCTTTTAGTTTGCGGTGAGACACTAAGATTATAAGACAATAAAAATACGCAAAGTGGTCTTGTGCCAGAACAGTGCGGGAACGCAATTCCATATGATGGTTCGAAACAGTTTGGGTACAGTTTGGGCTCGCCAGTAAACCGGTATTCCGGACCAGAGTATTTCCTGAGTTTAGGTGGTACTTTTTATTCAATGTTGTTTTATTAAACTCAACCACATTGGCTCCTCACGATGATCTATTTTTACTGCTGACCACCTGAAGACCTTATGTAAATAGGTCAGGCAAACTGGCAAGTCGTCGGCTTTAGCCGTCTTAAAATATTTTCTCACTGTAAAACTGTCAAATGTTCCAAATGTCGTGCGCAAACATTCCCGAGATAGTTGACCTTGTGCCATACTCGATCTTTCTGTTTTTAGAAGTTTCTTCTTTATATAACACTTTCTTGGACGTTATGATAAAGTTTAATACAGATATGCTTGCTCAGCATGCCTCTATCATAATGTTTTAGGGGAGATAATTCAGATAAGCGGCGATATGAATAGTTTTGCTACATTGCGTGGTTTTCAGCAGAGCCTGCTTGGAACATTGCCAACGTTGAAAACTACACCATAAACATGCCGGCGAAATGCTCTCCATTTATATTAATTAACTAAGCTATGTTATATAGATCTATAGATAAGTGTTTCAAGTTACAACAATGATTGGTCTGGTTGCCAGCAGTTTAATTATGTCTTTTATACATTCCATTTACAAATCGTGTATTTTTTCTTCGACAAAGTTACTAAATGTTCAAAAAACAGCTTGATCAGATGAATATATGGATAGCACCCATACACTCACCGAATGCGCAGCAAAAAGTAAAAATCTAAACTATAAAAGGTAACCAATACATTATCAAATACACATGTATTGCATCTATAAAGCAATGGTTTTTTTTTTACGGAGGTGCGATAATCTTGGAAGAATTTTGTGTCATGAATGATGAATTATGTCTTCTACTGAAACGAGCCGAGACTGTGCAGTGTTCTTCTACCAGTGCAACATAAGTATGTGTGCAACAAAGTTTGCATTGTATTTGAGCCGTTTGATGACGTCACAGTAGGGGATTGCCCTGCCCCCAAGGTTCTCAGTTTGTCTATTAGTTCTATTACGATGTTTACATAGAAAAAAGATCTACCTCGAACAAGAAGCTTGATAATCTAATTAAGAATCATTTAAAGCTTTGATTAGCATTCTATGTAGAAGATAAACATTTCCAAAACGAGACACAGCAAGAACCACTCAGCACCAAGCATCGCTACATGACAAGCGATGCTTAGGCATTGTTCGAACATTTTACCTTATAAAGGCAAATGAAATGCATTTTTGAACCTCAATCGCGGAGGCCAAAAGCACATACACCGGCATCAACACCCATTGGACTAGTCCTGAATGACTCGGACCTCCGAAAAGACAGAACTAAGTTATCTAGGAAAAGTTAGATTAGTTAAGATTAGTTTTAGTTGGCACTAAAATATAATGCAGTGTTCACCAGGGGTTATCTACTGCCGAGGCCTCCCGGTTTATTTCCCAAAGTTGGTGATTCTAAATATAACATTTTTAAGATCCATGCGCTGTATAAAATTGAGCTTTTAGCCTAGGGAAATGCCAAATTGAGAAGCCCGAAAGGTGACTCAGCAACTTTGTTATAAAGGATGTACATTTTCACACGGGGTGTTTAAAATGTCTGATTAATCAAATGGATCATTGAAATCATGCATCAATTCTGTCAATAGGTTTGATGACCCCTTCAAACAGCCATAACATAATCAAAATTAATCTCTTTGATTGAATTCGCGCCTGTACTAACAATAAGCTGCGTAAAATCTGGAACACAGCTTTTACTTTTTTTATGGTGGGGCACCCGTATTTTTATGCAAATACTGCTCATAGTCTGTTCTCCTTGTTAGTTAAATTTGCAGTGACTTCTTAGCCTTGGGATTAACAATTGATAACTCCTGCATAATTCTTAACTATAAATATAGAATCGTATTGTCTTTTCATGCAGTGATTTTCAGTGACCAAGAAGCCAACGTGAACATATTTTGTGATTAGCTTCCTTGAACAATGTGGCTCGTTCATCAGAAAATATATTGAATGATTTTCTAATTAAATGTTTCATTGTCATGCATAATGAACCAATCACCGAACCTCTTCGTGAGGTGGATTGCGACCAATCTCTTGTGAATGTAAACACAATAAAACGATGGCCATCTTGTTGCTAAATGCAATGAGAGAAAATGAGATTCTTTCGCTAAAATACCAGCTTTACTTTAGTCTATGAATGAAAATTGTTCACTATATAGTTTACATCTCTACTTATTTGCAAGCATGCATGCAAAGCTAAATATAGATAAATAAGCTATTTAAGTTTATTCAGCACTAAACAACAGAATCTGTATGCAAATAATTTGATGAATTCTGGGTAATCTTCTTTAACTCATCCTATAATCCGAGAAAATCTCTGTTGAATAAACTTGAACATGTTTATTCTGAAAACGTGCTGCTTGCAAAGATAAATAAAAGACAAGTGCAATTTAAAAGGATTTAAACGCAAAAGATCGGATAAATCGTTGTACAAACTTGATTTTCTTTCACACAGGAAATTCCTGCAATATTTCAGAGCCTTAACTTTTATTCAACACAGTACCAGCAGCCCAGTAATCTTTAACGAGCACGCGAAGGCGCTGCTTCGCAGGCTAAGACCCCGTTTACACGGTACTGGACGAATTTGCAACCGGGCTGAAATTCTGAAGTCCCTTTCGGCCTTCCGTTAACATGAGAACCACGGAACTGGACGAATTTGAGACCCCCTAACAGGACAAATTCGCGTGTAAACAGGCGAAAAAGGACGAATTTCAGCCCGCGGTCCCAAATTTGTCTGGTACCGTGCAAACCGGGTCTAAGTAATCGTTGAGGTGGGCTTCGTGTGACGTCACGGCTTTTTCCATGTTCCGTATCCGTATATCAATACAACGAGTGCTCAATTATTCGATACAATTATTTATCCTGTTATTGCTGATGTCAGTGATTATTTTAAAAGGCTGTTGAAACACAATTTAATTTAATAAAATTGCTTGCCCAAGATAAAGAAGTCACTTTAACTACTTATCCGACGATAAAATAACTAGACATGTATGGCATTCATTTTTTGGCCGCCATGTTGGTTGACAAATTCGGCGCATTCTGATAAATAAATAGACGTGGTGTTTCGAACAGGTTGGCAACAAGAATGCCGTTTGCCTTTCAAATTCTTTCAAACAATTTACAATCTCAATTTTTAAGATATTTGGAACCAGGGCGTGCCATCCGCCATCTTGTATTATCATTAAATCTTAATGACGTCACAACCAGGGTTGACCTTTTGGAATTAAAAATTAATATCAGTGGAAACTGAATACATAGCTTGCGCTTTAATTTAGAACGGACATTAAAATGATTCTGGAGTTACTCAAGATACAAAATAATGTCAGCCTGGTTCTACCGACGGATGGAAAATGGGTGGAACTTAATTAATTTTTATTATTATTTCCCTTATATTCTTTCAAGACAAGCCACTACTTTCAAAATCTGCTAAAACCGTTTCTTAATATGTATTTGCTTTCCCGACTATCCAAATGGTCGGCAAAGCAGTCAAATCACTATAGGTGCTTGTCTACAGTAGGTTTACGTCGGTTCTGGGGGACCGAAATTCTGTTGGGTGGTCCAGAAAGAGTTAATTAATTTAGAAAAACTTAATTTAACAACGTTATTTTAAATTTCTTAACTCTAGCGGCACAGGACTGCGTCCTCTCGCGTTGGTCACGGTGGTCAAAATGCAGCGAGCAGTGTGGCTTTGGAACAATGAAACGACATCGAGGAATTTTACAAACACCAAAGAATGGCGGGAAAGCATGTCCGATCAGACGCGAGAAGAAAGGATGTTTCCAGCAGAACTGCAAGGGAGATATGGGTAGGTCTCAGCACAGTACATAGAAAATATTAGGGTAGGCTTGCTAAGTTCTGTGTGGGTTCTCGCCAGAAGCCTCCTTCCTGTTGTATTATGTCATGAAATCCTTCTTAATGGGTTTACATGCAGTGTATATAGAGTTGGGCAGATGGATCGAGTCTGATTTACTAATAACTCATTCTGGCTTACAATTTGATATGGTAACAGCTGTAATGTTAATAGTAGTAACCACAAGTGCAATTTTGTTCCCACAGCGTGAAAGCGCGCACATTTCCAATGAACTGAGCAACTGTAAGACAATTATGGGATATTATTTCGGCAGGACGAGTGTCATTCTATTTTTGGACGAGCCCTAGGACTGCAGCTTCAGCGAAACCCCCTGATCCAGGGTAAGGGGAGCGTCACAACTTTTCCAGAACATACATGGGGAGGGTTAAATTATTTTCACCATCTCATTGAAAATCGTCATCTCCCCTGTCCACGTTGCTCATTTGCAAAATACAGTCAATTTCGACAATTCGTTTGCAAATTTGCAGCAGATATCTGTGCGATGGGTGCAAACGGGCGGTCAGGTCAACACTCGAAACGCACCAGAAACCAAGAAATTGCAGACGCTTCGTAACTGCAGACTTCTCATGCACCCGTTGCGACTACCTGTCTCCACCGTTAACGTATGTTGCTGTAATTGTTGTTGATGTTTTTTTTCCTTTGTAGTCTTAGCACAAATTCTTCCAGCTGAATATCGCCGTCAGCCGTTTCCAATTGACTTTATTTTACCCTGGAAAAAAAACCTAACAAAAATACAGAAAATACGTAAAAGGTAAAGTACTATAACTATGTATAAGGATCAATATATGCAGAAAAATACCTATCACATTGCCGTGAGAAGCAAATTGGCATTGGGGGAGCTCCAATAACAAACTTTTGCGTTTCTGAAGGCTCAGAAACGCAAAGTAGTGATGTTCTTGCATTTAAAAATTCAATATTTCATAATACACTTTTTACACTCATTCCCCCAGTTTCGAAACAATGTTCGCTCTGTATGCAATTGCACGAATGAATATATACACAATATTAAAGTGCATAAGACATGATTGTTTTGATTTTCTTAAATGAAAGAACTCTTTAAGCTGTAGTGTAACTTATTTTTCAGTTTCTGGTTTTCATGGTTTGTTCCCGAGATATTTCAATTTGTTTGGCCTAAATGAGTGTGAATATGTCCGCTAATTTATGACGTCACGTTGGTTGCAAACTCAACTTACACTGGTTATAAATCTATTAACTCTAAAAACTGTAGATATCAGTACACGTTTTTATCCAGTATTTTATCACATTTACCAGTGAGTGAAGTTAGAAAATATTATTTTGCATGATAGCCGTGATATTCAACCATTTTGAAGAGCTTGCAACCAACGTGACGTCATAAATTAGCGGACATATTCACACTCATTTACATACCAAACAAATTGAAATATCTCGGGAACAAACCATAAAAACAAGAAACTGAAAAATAAGTTACACTACAGCTTAGAGTTCTTTGATTTAAGAAAATACAAAAAATTCATGTCATGTGCACTTTAATGTAACAACGAACTATTAAACGACTATTACGGATAAGTCAGACGAAATTATTGGGGGGGGGGGGGATAGCCCCCTTGGCCGCTTGTTTAATTAAGGAACTGATTAATTTAGTAGTTGTGTATTACTCCACATGAATAGCGGACTCGAAAGTAAGCCAAGACAATGTTACCACTAACGTAATGAGTGCACTACAGTGGATAGATAAAGAACTCACAGAAAGCTAGAGTATTGAAGAACCTAGAACGTTCATACTAAGATTGCAGTTGTTACCCTCTCTCCTTTGGCTTTGCAGAGGCTTGTTTGAAGTTTAGAATCTGGAGGGAGGGAGAACGAGCCCGCAGGGGCACTCCCCGCGAGCTCATTTCACTCTTTGCGGAAACATCATGTAAGTTATTTGTAGTTTGTTCCGGCGGGGAGTGTTATGACCCATGCCAATATAGTGAGCATGCACTTGTGAACTTTGATTTATATTTTCCCCAGCTTCCGTAGTCATTGTGTCAACTTCAAGCTTATGTCGAAACATCCAGATTGTAAAGGAACCTGGGCAGAGAAACTCAAATTATCGAAGCCAATGTGTGTTGAATGTCAACCTGCCATAATGGATGATAATGGTTTCTGTAAAGGAGAGGGAATTGTGGGTAATTTTACATCCTGGGTCGCGACAAATTCGAAAAGCTGCAGTGGACTGTGGATGAGAGTTGGCGAGAAAATTCCCAACTGTAAATGCGTTGATCAGGAATTCCAAAATTTTATTTTTGTTTAAGATTTTGATCAATTGGAGTTTTGTTTTGTTTTGTTAGGAAACTAAATCAAGAAACTTATAAGTGACAGCATTAAAAATAGTTTAGTTATTTTATTCAAGATTTAAGGCCATGCAGAGAGGAACTTAATGCTTAGAATTGTGATATTAGGGAGTTTAAGCTGCGCGTTCACACGACAATCGTCGGGCGAAAAACATTTTTACGCCATAAGGCAGTCGAGTAAATGAACCTGTTATTCTGAAACGTAAACCTATAACGGTTCTTTTGACGTAAGAAAAGAAATATAAAGTGAAGAAGTTAAATGAAAACTCTGCCAAGGAAACAGGACTCCGCCGTTTTCCACGCCCTCAAACGTGAAGCGTAACCTCCCTCTTATTTTCAAAAGAACATGTTGAAAGAGACACAAAATTTCAAGCAGCTTTTAAATATTTTTTACCTTTTTGTGACTGAAACTCTTCGTTTGAGAGCTAGACCAATCTATAATTTCTGGCGGGAAACTAGGACTGGATAGGGCATCCTTGTGAGTTCACTGTCAATGAGCCAATTTTGAAGCTAGAATATTTAATATACTATATGAGAATAGATTTTTAAATTCGTTACAAAATGAATCGTTAGAGGTATGAATTAGTTTTACTATAAAGATATAACTTTCCAAACATTTTTTATCGAGTTTTAGAACGTTTAAACACTACATAACCAGACTTGCACAAATGAAAGTGATAGGATTTGGCTGGTTAGATTTGCAGGCAGGGGGGGGGGGGAAGGTTAAGAAATAGGTTTGCCAATACGTGTGAAATCCACCATAGTGAAATCATGCGATATTCAATGTTGTATAATTATCATTTATAGACCCAGAGCGAAGGGATTCGGCGGAATATTACCCGAAGTGATGATAGTATCATCACCGAGGGTAATATCATCACCGAGGGTAATATTTCGACGAATCCTCCGAGCGGAGGGTCTATAAATGATATATTATACCGAAAGTTAAAGAACCCACTAAGTTCAGAATAAACTTAATTATATTAACCAAGCGAATACAATAGTTTTTGACGTTTTGTCTTTAAAATATTTGAGCATGTATCCCCTTTGGATCATTGAAGGTAACATACGTCTTGAAAGTCTTTGGTTAAATCAATAAATCTTCTGACAAACAACAGCTAGCGAACGCCATATTGTTTCAGAGTGTGGTATCCAGGCGTCACATACTATAATATCCCACTGGATCTACCGCGGGATATTACAGTATCTCACGCTGCATTGCGAAATCATGAATTTGAGTGAAATACCGTAAAAAATCACATTGTCACGTGGTACAAATGCTGTTTTTGATTGGACAATTTGAATATGAGGTATAATATCAATTGATAACTCAATCAACCCTCACGCGAGTTGGCAATCCAGGAAGCGGCAAATGTTTTTAATTCGCCTAGATTCAATAATCATTACCAACATGAAGATATTCTATAACTGATGCGGTTGTGCATCTATTGATTGATTACAGAAGAAAACTGAAACACATTTAGGATCGATTGCAAGAAACCTTGACAACATTGAAGGCAAACGTTAGTCTGTTAACGTCGTCACGTACACTAGCTCGCGTCGCCTGTTCGTTATTTGCCTAAGTTGAGTTGCATTCCCAGTTGACCACCCTGACTAGAGCAACTATGGTGTATATATAACCTTGTCTACCATCTTGTAGATAGGACTCGTTCCAGGGGCTAACCCTGTGTAAATGTCAGCGATTAGGATTCTAAAGAAAATCATTATACACATGCGCAATTTATGCCATGAACGTGCAAAACCAACCAGCAGAAACCTGCAAAAATAACCAGCCGAATAGCGGCTAGGGCATGTGACCACCACAAGTGGACAATGTATTGTTGCTCACATGTTAATGAGGTTGTAACAGCGTCTGGTAATTGGTGGGAAATGAGGTGTATTGTTTAAATAGAGATTGGTCATCCGTGCTTTTCTTCTCAATTTTAATACGAATGACTAATGAGTTCACAAATAAAGTAACTGCTGTCGAGGTCGCCATAATTTCGTTTCTATAAGTGTACATTTCATCTGTATTTTATTGACGGATAGTTGGTCCAAATTCAAAACTTTTATAATATTATAAATAAATAAAACTATTTTCAATAAAGTTTCAAGTTTCTTCAGTATGTAAATGTTATTTTTGCCAAGATTTTCCATTGATAAAAAATCTATATACGACTTAATAATTAATATAGTATATGACCAATACTGTAATTATCTTAATTGCATGCTCAAAAAATAAACAATTTTTCATGTTGTATATATGTATATGTAATGCTATACAGGAATGAATACGAATTCTATTGAGACAAATTTAGAGTTTATCATATTTTGATAAGCAAAACTAATTTAAAAATATATATTTTCGATAATATATATTTTCCGCTCATCGTGAGCACAAAATACGCGATTTACCGTTTAAGTGGGTATGTACTAGATGGTTTTAATCGTTGTCAAAAACTTTATTCAGCCTTCGAAACCGAGCCAATTAAACATATTTTCCTAGTCTGGACAATATACCACTATGATATTGTACAGACTAGTCCCCAGTTCATGGTGCACGCGTTACAGTATCGCATATGCCACCTGGGACCTGGGTACGAGGTAGGTAATGAAAACATAAAAAACGTCATCAAATAAATATGGAGTTCATTACATTATTTCGCTTATTTCAATCGTACAATTTCCTGACACATGCGACGTAATTACTGACCATATAGTGTAATTACGAATGATTGTGAGGGCCAGTCAAACGAGGATAGGATTAAGAAAATAAAGGTTTGACGAGTGTTCCAACTATGTTTCAACTTAAATACAATGAATACATGTTGGGAAATATAGTGAAAGCATTAGGGGCTGATTACATGGGGAGTTTTCAGCCCGGGCTGAGTTACAGCCCGGTTAAACCACGAGCTGAAATTGCATGACGATTACATGAGCAGTTTGAGCCCGGGATGAGTTTAGTCATAGCTATATTTATAGTCAACCCGAGCTGAAATAATCTGAGTGTCACGCAATAATACAATAAGCCTGTTACGCTTCTTTAAAGCAATCAGACGCTGATTAGTCGACTATTTGACTTGTGTAAAGTCATGTATATATGTAAAGTATTTAAAGATCAAACAAACACGCAAAATAAAGCCATTGGGCAAAAACGGTTGTTTTTTAGCCCGGGCGGAAATTATTTGCGATTACATGCTGCCGGGCTGAGTTTCAGCACGGGCAGCCCCAACCGGGCTGAAATTTCAGGCCGGGCTGAAACTCAGCCCGGGCTGGAATTTTGGTCACGTAATCGCTTGCTATTTTAATAGGATTTTATCCTTAGGCCGGGCTGAAATTGGCCGGGCTGAAATTTCAGCCCGGGAAACCGGGATGAAACTCAGCCCAGGCTGAAAACTCTCCATGTAATCAGCCCCTAAGAACAGCTAACCAAGGTCACGTGACTGCCAACTCGTATGAACTCTCATTCCTCGTTTGAGCTGGGGCTTTACACAAAAAAACTTGCAAATTATTTTCCACTACTAGCGAATGTCACAATTACTAACACTTCTTGTTTTCTAAAATCCTTTTTCCCATACCTAAAGTCCTAACATGCATCAGAAAGTTATGTTTTCACCTGTACTCGAGTTCATTTATGCGTTTGACTATTCAGAGCAGGATTACAAGAAACTATGAACAAGCTTTCGTAATTGCTAGGGATGCAACTATACTTCAAACTCCGGAACTCCAGACGAACGGCCTTCGCTCGAAACGTCGAAATTCTCCTTATATTTTTCAGGTAGTTGCACCCCTACTAACGACAACTTGTTCACATTATTGGGCCAAAAAAAAAATATATGGATTTCCGGTTTCTACTTATAAAAACTTAGGTAGGGTAGCTCGGTTTTAACTTTTAATTTTCCGAATAAGCGGACGCCATTTTGTTTAGTCAGTGCTTCCACATCCAAAGATAATTTTCCCTAATATTGCCACAAATTTCAATTTTCCACAAACTTTTTCGTCTAAGTGGAAACACTTACAAGCATGATCCAATAAAAAAGTTTAGGGTCGGGATTTCGACGTCCAAAAGCTAGGTAGGGTCGGGAAACCGGAAACCCACATATTTTTTTTTTGGCCTTGGCACTACCTACACTGACACAAACAGTTCAAGATTATTACAAGAAACTAATCTTTCACACTAGCAATTTTGACGGCCATGTTCTCCTCCTGGCGGATGTGATTGAATGAGTGACATGCAAAAGATTTGGAAATGTATACTTCCGACAGGCGATTCTATACTTCTGTGTACGAGTTCATTTATTCGCATCCGCCAGAAAGAGAAAATCGTCAACAAAATCTTTAGTGTGAACCAGGCTAAAGATGAGACTCTGAGTTGCTCCACATGCATCTTGTACTGATGAATTGGGAATCTAATCCACGACCTTTGTTTGTTATCCCAAAGCTCTACCAACCGAGCCACGAGGGTTCGAGTAAGGGCAGCTTTCCAGTTAAGTATCACAAACAAAACTAAATTATGTCATTCCATTCATTTAGGTATTTCATAAGTAACTTTTGAATGGATTTAAACTTTTCCGTGCGTATACTGTATGCACAAAAGCGCTTAACTTGAAAGCATGGTGATATTTCCAAACTCAGTCCTCTCGATATCTGTATGTGCTGAAACTCAGATATAAGATGTACAGGTATCATATAGGAACTAGATTAAGTTCGGAAATATCACCTCGAATGGATTGACCCTGTAGTTCGGTTGGTAGATCATTGGACCAGCGAACCGAAGACCACAGGTTCGATTCAGCTTGCCCGCGGTGTGGAGCGACTCAAATTAGCATCATCTAAATTATTATAATATAATAATTAACTGTCACGTATTCTTATACATCTCATTGCCCGTGCCAAGAGCCTGGGAACGAGGTTGGGCCCGTGCCCGCCGTGAAATTTCAATGTCTTCTGAGCGGTGAATAATAAAATCATTCAGTTATGGAGAAAAATTATGGGGTTTCTCGTTTTTTTTTTTGTTTTTTTTTTACTTTGACACTTGGTATATAATACAGTATACTTTTTATAGATTTTGGGCAACTCACTCGATATAATTATATATCAGTATCCAGTTAGATCAGGCACGCCGAGATGGGGCAAATTGCCCGGGGCCGCGAGGTTCTGGGGGCCCCTAGAATTTTTTTGTTGGGCCCCAGTCATTTTTTTGCGCGAAATATTTCCGTTTTTAGGTCGAAATATATGTGTTTTTCCGGCAAAGAACCGAATTTTGGTATCAATATTTGCAGCGGTACAGCGGAATCCCTGGGCCGCAAGTTCGATTATATATAATTACTCTCAGAGGGCCTATATATACAGTTGCATTTTTCGCGGATATGTAGAAAAATTGAATGCATAATTCTGCATAATATACACATGGAAATCTCATTTTAGCAGGCGGGAGTATGCTACATTATGTACAGTTTACATTACATACATGTTATATATAGTATCCAGTACAGTATGTGTCTTTTCGTATGTGCACATCGTGGAATGCAGATCTAGTATCAAGAATCGTCAAATATATTGCACATGTGTAAGCTAATATCACTTCTCTGATACGACCTTCAACTATTCCATTCACATCAAGGTTGTTTCCAAATTGTACATCTGGTACAATACCCACTTTAGCTTTGTATCCACTTTATTTCCTGGCTGAGCACACGAGTCACTTTTCAAGAACCTCTCTTTCAGAATCCAGTTGCCTCTCTGCCATAGTTTTTAAAGCATTCTGCAACATTTCTAGTACCGCTTCTACGAAATAACATCACGACAGTTAAACGATGTTTAACGAAGTCTGCAGGGGAACGAACACTGAGTCTGAAGGAACAGAACAAACGAAGTGTCCATATATTAGAGAAGTGCATGCTTTAGTAAATGTAACACCAATAACGGTGTAAAACAGTAACGGTGTTTTTACCCTCAATAAATAAAGTATTTTGACTTATAAAATGCCCAAGCGATAAAATACGCACATATTAGGGACCGGTCATTATTTAAGGTGGGGGGTGGCACCGAAGAGAAATGTTTTTCGTGGCAAAAGTTTTGCTGACCCAACCATTAAAAAGTAAAAAATTTGATTACCCAACCTCAAATATCAATTTAAAAATAAATACCCACCCCTGGCCAAAAACTTTACAATAGTGTGACGTTCTGTCACATGAGTTTGATAACGGATTGTAAAATTTTCTGCAGTTTAAAGTTTCATGTTGTCTGCACATGTACTTTCTTTGGAGGTACCATTTGTCTCCCAACAAATCGGAAAATGATCAAGAGATAGTCACTCTGATTGATTCACATACGGTATTGTATTGACATATGACTGACTACTGTTGACATTGCTTTTTAGTCTCCAATATTTCAGTGAATCATGCTTTGGAAATGACAATAATTTTTTATTACCCAACCCCTGAGTTGTTTTGTTTTTCATTTACCCAACCTTTTACTCACTCAAAATTTTGTTTACCCAACCCTTTTCTCTTCGGTGCCACCCCCCCGCCATAAATATTGACCGGTCCCTTATTGGACAATTTGGAACATGAATGAGACATTTGTTGCGGACAGAGGCGCCGGAATATCGATAATTGCGGGGGCAGATATTCATATTTTTGTGTTCATAGACTGTAAAAACAATCGATTTCAAAAGAAATTAATTGGGCAGAACACGAATATATGAATATCCGCCCCCCCCCCCCCAATTATCGATATTCCGGCGCCTCTGGCTGCGGAAGCGAGCGAGCCTGAAGCGAGCGACGCAGCAGATCTAATTTGTGTAGATGGGGATTTTTATCTCCGGAGTATGGCGCTCGTATTTGTAACATTGTTTTGTTCGCTTTGGCAACCCTCGTATATATCAGATGCTGTTCGGCTTCAAATGCGACTTAATAAACACTGACAGTGTTGGAATATGAAATGATATTGATGGTACTGTATATCAAGGTACGTACTGTACATTTATACTGAATTTATTTTCACACGAGTTTCAAACTATTTCAGCCTTATAATGAACACTGAGAACACATCACAAACAGAAAGACTCCATATCTTCTCATCAATTATGATTATCGTTACAAGTAACAGTAGAAATGTTTTAAAAATATATTCTGCTTTTTATGTAAAGCAGAGCAGCATGCTTTTATTTTGCTTTGGTGGTATAGTCACCACTCACTAAGTCAAATGGGCCATTCCATTTAATAGCCCCCGTATTGAGGCCTGGATATTCTATGGGGGAGAGGGGGGTTTTATCTTAAATTTTCCTAGCGGGTAGCTTATTAAGAGATTTTCCAAAAATTAGGTGTTTTATATAGTGCAGGGCTTTATCCAAGCACCAACTGACCTCCGGTAAACGGAGGTCAAGACTCAATCTTGGATTGAGTTTTTAAACTGAATCTTTCCCCCAACGAAAAGAAAAAAACAACAAAAAATCATTTTCACTCGCTTTAGTTTTTGGAATTCCAAGAAACAAAGTTATAGGTAAAACGACATGTTTATGTTATAAAGCTACCTCTATTGTATATTTTATGTCTTGTGACCACCGTGCTTAGATGGCATGCATGTTTGGACTTCTGGCGGATAAAAATTTCGATCAAATCAGCACAAAATGAAATGGAATGATTGAAGAATAACGAATATTACAAATAGAAAGTAAATTTTTCGAACTAAAATCTAAAATTTACACAACCTTGAGCTGGAAGAGTGAAAAAGCCGCAGAAAAAATACGCTCGAATACGAGTACATCGATGTATAGCCTCTTTGGTATTGCGCAATGTTTACATAAGATTACATCATTCACAAACCACGCGGTTACATTCAAGCAACGTGAATTCGTCTTGAAACTTGTCTCGCAATTTTGTTGCAGCAAGCGTTGCACGAAGTAGAATCAGGTTCTACTTTTCGCAACAAAAATGTTGCGAGACATTGATTGCAATGTATATATTACAAAAACTGCAAGCCGGCAAGGTGTAACATGTTAACCTTGCAATTGCGACACAAGTTGCAAGACAAGTTGCATAGTGTAACAGCTCCTTAAGATGCTGAAATAGTAAAAGCTTTCAGGGACTTTGCCCCTAGACCCCTCGGGCTACACTCGTGCGTCACAAAAACTGAATCTTCTTTTCTAAAACGGGGGTCAGCAAAAGTGCTTGGATAAAGGTTTAAGCCCTGTAGTGATATCCAAGGGGACAGGAACAATATCCTAAAGGGGTAGAAAGATATCCATGGAAGTTCCAAAATTGCACCCAATGTGGTTCCAAAATTTTTAAGGAGATCAAGAAGGGACCCTCTCAATAGGGTGTGTGAAACTATATATTAAATGGAATGGCCCAGTGTGCTGCAACAACTTCTTAATTTGTATATATGTTTTTGAGGCAAAGGCAATATGGAATGGAGTTTGACATGATGATCAACACAACCTCAAGGTCTTGACTGAATGAACAACTTATTTGATATACTCCTAGTTCCAATACTTTGCTATACATCCCCCCACACCCTATTAAGGGGTCCCTTCTGAATCCCCTTAAAAATTTTGGAACCCTATTGGATGCAATTTTGGAACCCCCATGGATATCTTTCTACCCCTTTAGGATATTGTTCCTGTCTGCTTAGATATCACTAAAACACCTAATATTTGGGAAATCTCTTAATAAGCTACCCTCTAGGAAAATTTAAGGTAACACCCCTTCTCCCCCATAGGATATCCAGACCTCAATACGGGGGCTATTAAATGGAATGGCCATTTGACTTGGCGAGTGGTGACTACCACCAAAGCAAAATAAAAGCATGCTGCTCTGCTTTACATAGAAAACAGAATATATTTTAAAAACATTTCTACTGTTACTTGTAACAATAATCATAATTGATGAGAAGATATGGAGTCTTTCTGTATGACAGTATGTTAGTGATGTGTTCTCACTGTTCATTATAAGGCAGAAATAGTTTGAAACTCGTGTGAAAATAAATTCAGTATAAATGTACAGTACGTACCTTGATATACAGTACTATCAATCAATATCATTTCATATTCCAACACTGTCAGTGTTTGAATATGAAGCCGAACAGCATATAATATATACGAGGGTTGCCAAAGCGAACAAAACAATGTTACAAATATGAGCGCCATCCTCCGACAAATTAATACAATATAATGATGAATGTTGCACAGTTTTGTGTACAAGTGTGTTCACAGCTTATATCTGAAGTATTTTTCGCAAAATTTGTTAAAACTTTGAGAATAAATACATAAAAATAAACAAAATATGTATATTTTTAAGCAAGAAAATCGTAAGCGCCAGCGCTAATTGTAGTCAGCAACATAACGTTGTCGTTACTGCGCATGCGATAAATCTCCAAGAATCTTGGAGATTTCAGCGTATTTTACCAAGTATCTTCCTCAGCTCGCGCGCCATAACGAGGAAGACACTGGGGACGAGGTTGGAGAGGGACTGGATTAAAAACTGCATGTGTTTGTATCAGTTTGTTCATCTTCAATTTTACACATATAACAAAACTCAAAATTTTTAAAACTTTTTGCTTCCTTGCACGAACGCTATGATGCAAAACACCGTCAATTTTCGGGTGACGTGCGTGTTGACAAAAACGTCGCTTGCTTAAGGTTACAGGACACCCTTTTTGGAACACCGCGGAAAAACGTCTGCGCATGTGTCAACCTTACCTGTAATAGAATTGCGAACTTGATGAGAAGCTGTTCCGAACGTTTCCGAAGGCGCAAAATGGCGGTAAAAAGGAGTGACTTCATTGTGCGTCTTTACAGCCAGATTTCGAGCGCAATAATAAACATGTCATTCTAAAAACTAGGAATAAATACAGCCAGAAGGTTCAAAAAATTGTATTGCACAAGAACATGAACTCAAGGTAATTGTTGACAAATTTATCGTCTGAAACATTTTGTTTATCAACTAAGCAACGACAATTTCCGAATTTTCGTTTGAGATACATTTCTTTAAAAAAAACTGTGTCGCCAAATATAAAAAATTTTCGTCTATATTTTCTCGTTTGTTTTACTAATTTTTGACCTATTAATAAGCATGTTTTTGTTTTAGAAATTGATATTCAAATTCCCCGCCATATTTTCATAATTTGGTGCATGCGCAGACGTTTTTCCGCGGTGTTCCTTTTTGGCGTTTTGCGGACAATCGCTGCTGCGCGCTCAAAATCAGTCCGATTTTCATCAAATTTTCACCAAATGTTAGCCAGTGCATGCCGAATATGATAAAATTGTGAAATTGACAAACAATAAAATAATGTAAGAATTATTCGGGAAAATCTTAAGTCGCGGTACCTTTACGCTTTTGAGTTATGTTCCTGCTGGTTTTAAGATATATTTATGAAAATATCATTTTTATACAGTAAAATAGTTGTTCTAAAAAATTGTGTTCGGAAATTTTTGTTTATTTCGTCATTCCGCTGATATGGCGATTACTTTGACGACTGCAATATATTTCTGAATCGTTTGTGTGAATTGCTCCTTATTATTAAAATATCCAAAATTAGAGCAAAGCCGAACACACTTTTGAAACTGACGTCTTTAGCTACGTCCTGTGAAAATTTGAGAAAAATCCGTTAAAACCCGCAGGAGCAACAACTCGTTTAAAAATCAGTAATTGCCGTAAAATTCTTCGGGAGAAAATTGAATTTGAATATTACATTTTCAATGTTTTTCTTATTGCAGCGAAATGTATTTTATTAAATAACTCTGCGAGTTCAACATTTTTCGTCCAAACATGATCAGATAGTAGAACTAGTCTAATGCTTTCATGGAAACCAATAAAAAAGTTTTAGGCAAAATTAACACTCAAAGGTGTTCTGTAACCTTAAGCTCACTATTGTGTTATACAGTACATACCCCCTTTCTTGACTGCTTGTTCAAGCTTCTCGGCAGCTTCTTCGTTTTCATGCTGTAGTTTATCTAGACTGGCAATCTGAAGTAAATGTTAGCCAAATTTAACCATCATGTATACCGCAAAGTGGAGTACAATTTTGTTTTAAATGTAGTGAAATTAACACCTGAATAATCTGAAAGAGCCGTCAATGTTTTTAGAGTCCAAGAATAACACGTAATACTACTATACACAACGAAATTTCTCGGAACTTTCTCTAAACTCGATCTGGTATGATCTAAAGTGTACAATATATATGTACTGTTTCACTATTACTATAGTGGGGCTACTGCTTACCTGAAGTTCTGTAGAACATTCTTCACTTGGTAACGAGTCAATAAGAAAGTCAATGTCCTTTGCAGTTCTTGCTATCAATGCAGCAAACAGCTTGGCATGGCCTATAAATATTATACTTTAAAGTCATTTTATTGAACATTTCAGCTTGCTTTTTAACGTTCCCAGGTTTGCAGTAAAAATTCCTAATTACATGAAGAGAAATGTTGGCACCATGTTTCGAACATGTTTCTTTCTCTTTGAATATGTTTCTCTGAAGATGGTCCATAATAGAATCGAAACACGCATTCACACCATCGTAAGAAGTCGCAACTCGCCTCCAATAGAGCGGAGGACAGGACTCCCGAAGATGTGAGGTCAAATCCCGCTTGAGTAAACTTTTTACAGTTGACGTTCGGCAGTATAGGAAATTTCTATTCCCCGTTACATTTCCAAAGTTCGAACATTGGGCCGAGCAATGAGCGCAGAACTTGTATACTTTGCCAAGAAGTAAGTACAGAACATACCATAAACTCGTGAAAAGTCAAAGTGCTGTTTCTGGCCAACAAACTAAAGGATTTTTTAGAAGCTTTATAATAATATAAGTTTCTAACTTGAGTTTTATGTATATATAAAAATTGTTACAAAAGCAGAAAATACATTTCAGAGACTCTAGATTTAAGAATTTTCTTTGGACGCATGGCCAGACCACATAGAGTGATCCTCTTGGATGAAACAGGCTGTAGTGGCAACCTTTGGATGCATGGTCAGAACACATACATAGAATCATCGTAATAACCTTCCCCTAACCAAACTTCCGTTGACTCTGTGTACATGTATGTGCAGTTATGAAATGTCTGCCTCTCAATAATATGTTCGCATGTTCATAATGTATCATGTATTTCATAAAACTATATTGCATATATACTGCGTTGTCTGCAATTGTCTGTCTGTCTGCTGAACAAAAGTAGTATTTAACAACAGACTTACCTTCTTGGTTATTCACTTTATCTTGTTTTGCGTCGTTATCTACAAAAAAAGTTCAGTGTTTTTATTCTGAAAAGCTACCAGGTGATCTCGTGTTCGTATTTTAGCCAATCAGCGCTCAGAAAGGGTTGTCCGAATAGAAATCCATTTTGATGTATTCAGTCAATTATATCTTTCGTTATTCTTTATGAAACTAGTTGAAATTTTGTAATTATGTTTGCTTTAATATGAGAACTATAGCTCTGACAAAAATATGGAATCGAAATAAAGTATATTACAGGAGATATTCAGTTGTTTTAATCATAAAATGGATTTCTATTTGACAACTAGTGCCAGTACTTTTCCGCGTATCAAGATCATCTGGTAGTATATGCATTGTCATTGTCCAACCCCTTTTCTAGTGTATAATTGACCCAGGACATTCGGTTCAACAAATAGAAAACCTTTTTTATGTTTCTACCACTGTATCAGTCTTGTAGGACTTGAGCCCGGACTCGCATTTCATAATGCAATTGACATTCAACACACTACACAACATGCCTCTCAATACACCCTTTCGATAATTACGTCATTTGGCCTGGGAGCCCCACTCTCATGAATCGTGAGCCAATCACCTTGCGTAATTTACTAATGAGAGCGAGGCTCCAAGACCAAAAAGTATGTGTGACGTAATTATCGAAAGGGTGTATTGAGAAAATCGTCACATCAGGTCATGTTGGAAGATCTTTTGTTAACATTCTCACGAATACGAATGGTCACGCAAGTTTGCTCATCCAGCATAAATTTTTTTTTCAAGATTCTTGCATTTAAGAGATATTGAGCCACCTTATAATTTACATCACTTCTATTGTTTGTGTAGAATGGAGGCTGTGCAGTTTTCAATTTTGTGTACATACTAAATGGATGGGCCCAGTGATCTTATTGCAAGCCCTGGTCGTCAATTTACCTATGCCAGTCAATATGACCACCTTGGACAAGAGCCTTTTCTCCAGTAACTGCACACTATTTTTTTTAGAACAACTCCCATCAGCCCATTTTTCTAATCAATTATTGGTTGTGAACAATTGAGTAATATTGATTAATTGTATTGACCTTGTCTATGCAAGTAATATCTCATTTTCTTTAATTCTTTGACCTATTTGGAGTTGACAGCCTATGAGTTTGCCAACACTGGCAATTGAATCAAAACGAGTCGTGTTTGTCATTTAATACAATGAAACTTATTCAGGTAATATAATGTGCACAGGTGCTTAAGTTCCAATTACTGTTAAGATTAATTGTTGCCAAAATACACAAAGTGCACATGACATGAAAATTTCTCCCCAATTTTTTATGCATCACTTAAAAATACCATGAAAATGGTACCCTTAACAATTTATTCACAGCTCGTCTCATTCCCAAGTTATCGCGCATTTTGTATTTTGTGTTGTGACGTCAAGAAGGCATAATTTGTATTTTGTGGATGCCAGCAAGAAGATTAAAGTCTAATATCTCAGAAGTGATTCAACAAAATGAAATTTGGTACAGTTAGTAAGTACACCAAACAAACATTTTGGAACGTTTATGTGGTTGTCATAGCAAAGTACTAATTACCAAGTCTCTCTCTTCTTATTTTACTAACATCTGCCGGCCGTAGACACTTTGGAACAAAAATTTTATTTAATTCAGTAGTTTATATTCACCACAGCACTAATAAAAATAGGTACGCTATGTGTACATGAATCTACGAATAGCAATAAATCGTTGCCCCACCCTACCCAGTAGTCGATCGACAACTTTAAAAAGTGAATGGCCGGCCAAGCACCAGCTAGTCTAGAACATAATCAGAAAATAATAAATGCGTGCATAAACAGGTCATTGATATATCGGTAATTTGCACTAAAACGGTTATTCTAAATCACTTCTGACTTCTGAGATATTAGTAATGTCATAACACAAAAATACAAAATGCCCGATAACTTGGAAATGAGATAAGCTGCACAAATAAATTCTTAAGGCGATTCATTCTTCATCATTTTCAAGGTACTTTTAAGTACTAGTTAAAACACGAGGCTCATGAGCAGCTGATCTTTATCTCATACACAAACTTTGTATATCAGACAAAGATCGGATGTGAATGTTTTAACATGCTTAAAAAACGACCCTTTTTACGAGTTTATTGGCAAAGTAATTTTAAAAATAAACATTGCTTAAGCCAAGAAAATCCAAGCTGAAGTTTATGTAAATCAGGACAAATCTTTATCCGATTTACAAACATTGATTATTTTTATATCATGTGCACTTTAACCGCTTAGTGAATTGACCTACCTTCTTTTTCAAAACCAGTAAAGGAACTAGATTGAGCTGTTTGTTGTAAAATTCCAATGCTATTACAAAAATGATTGGCCAACTGTAAGTAAATAATTAACACAGTTTAGTCCTGCAAAATCTGTGTATACAAATGAGAAGAGAAAACTTAAGATCACCACAAAAAAACCTACACTTCGTCTCTCCTTGGTGTATATGTATTTGATTAACTTCTTAAGTGGCAATGCACCCTACTTTATTATTTTACTCTGTCTAAAGCCATACAATTTTACTTGTCAAGGGGAGAGTGCCGGCACTCAATGATTTTATCGTCTACCCAATTAATGGCATTTTACATTGTTGGCATTTTAAAAAAGTTTGTTCTTTTCTCTGTCAGTTTCTATATATTTTCCCTGTGATTTTTCGTGTTTTTATGCGAGGAGTACCCATTGCAAAAATGTCCAAATTCAAAAGACAATGCAAATTATGAGTGGAGTACCATACTACTATACAGTACATCATGTTGAAGCAGTGCTGCAAGATAGCCCTGATAAAAAGAACTGTCACTGTTCACGTCCACCAGCCTACTCTGGCAAGTTTGTTTTTACTTTTATCAAAAAAATGGCCGTAAAAATACAAAAAGAGAAGATATTACTATTTTCAAAAATTAAAGCTAGACTCCACCCCCGAAAGCAAGGGAAAACAAGAATTATTTAATATGTTGTGGGCCTGTGGCAGAAATATACACAGTATCACTGTGTCAGTGATAAAGTGAATGTAAGGGGCCATGACCATGTCCATATTCATGTTGCCATAAACAGTCCTTGAAACTCCCGAAATTTCAGGCGATAATTCTCATTCTAGGTCGGCGAATATTTTCAAATCAAATCAAATCAAATTTATTTTAGCCATAAAAAAATAATATCATACAAAAGAAGGAATAAATATACATTATACTTCGCAAGGGAGCCCAATAGAAACCATAAGGCTTATTAATTTTAGGCTACCTTAATCGTACTATTCATATAAACGGAATAATTCGTGCACAATAGGAGACAAATCCGAATTCATTAGTGTAATTACATATTAAGCATCTACCTATAGTGACCGTCAATTTATATAACAAGTACGATCGTACTATAGTGGACCAGGAACTGCGTGACCCAGTTTCGATCTTGTGCAAATCGTTAAATGTTCAAAACCTTCGAGACTTTGACTTGATAAACAAATAACTATACACTTGTGAAACTAATCTTTTCGAAGTTGGCAACGTAGACTGAGTTCGCTAAATGTTTTGCTTTAATTTGGTCATGCAAGGTATACTTTATCCGGGCAAAATGTCAGTCTAGTGCAAATCTGGACAAAGCATTGATAACTAAATGCGCAGTTTTCAAAAGTATTTCCTTGCATTTGAATTCGATAGATAAGTTAAATGTCCCACAATATTTACAAAAAACATGCCGTGCCTAAGTCAGCTAACTTTTGCCGTGCATCAAATTTTGCCGTGCATTGCGTGCCATTAATTGCAAAATATTGCAGCTACAGTCGTGCACGTGCCGTGTACAAGGCTTAAGTTAAGGTAACAAATTATCTGAATTGTTGCTAGGTTAATGCAATTTCATCTTGCTTAGTCATGGCTTCATAACTGCATGCTTGTGCTAAAAACAAATTTACATGTCTTTGTTTTTACGGTTCACGATTTTCTATCGGACTATGAAGAATATTATACTGTACTGTATAATAGCCAGATAGCAATATTACTCCTCTGCGCTTTGAGAAACTAAGCCAGCGCGTGTTAAATTTACTAGTCACATTCTCACTCTCGAGAAGCTTTAGACTATTGTGATTGTGTTCACAACAATAGACAAGACAATGTCTTTCTTATCGTTTGCGTTTGGTAATATATTTGCTGAATATTAATGATATGTATATATTATTTGCTACAAATACAGTCAAAAATTGCTTGTATCTTGCTTCTAAAGTCAAAAATGAAAAATCGAACACCGTCAATCTATGCGGAATATTGCTAAGAATAATTGTGTTAAATTTCATTCCGATCAGACAAGTAATGACGGAGCCTTAGGGTTTTTTCAAAGAGCGTCGCCCTCTAACAACAACAACAACAACAACAACAACAACAACAACAACAACAACAACAACAAGATTAGCAGCGATTGGGGACCAGTTCCTGGTCCAATAATTAGAACTAGTTGTTCAAAGTTGTAGTACAGTTGATCATTACGTGTATTATGTCAGAAAGAGAGATTTAACAAGGGTGATATATTTATAGGTATAATGAACACTAGATAGATAAACTTTATTTAAACACGCTGACCCCGTCAACCGAAGCTGATTTCCACGAGGGGCGTGCGAAAAGTATACAGAAAAGAATTTTAAAACTATTTACAAAATTATATAAGATATATAGTATTATATGAACTAACAAACTAAGGTAGTAATCTATATACAGGTAATATTAACATCTATGTTAATTAGCTATCAGTCAATGTGAGTAGTGATTTTCTTTCGAAAGGAAGAAAAGGATTTGCTCTCTCTTATTTCTTTAGGAATAGAATTCCAAAGGTGTGCTCCGTCATACACGAAACTTTTTTTCATATTATTAGTACGCGGTTGTGATAAACAAAGACTACTTGAAATGTTCCGAAGTTTGTAGTTTGTCACCTCACCCTTATATGTGAAGAGATTACTGAGTGATTTGGGTCCCATTTTATTCAATAATTTGTACATGATTTTTGCTTTACTTTTCTTCCTTTCTGTTTTAAGTGGCTTCCAACCCAATGCTTGCAATGCAACAGAGTGATCTATGTCATTGCTCATATTCAAAATAATCCGAGCAGCTCTGTTTTGTAGTTTTTGGAGTCTTTTCGGTTGCGTTTCTCCAAACACATCCCATACTTCACAGCAGTAATCAAAATATGGGCGAACAATAGCATTATATACAGAAAGAAGTGTTTGCTTATCAGCAAATTCTTTTAAACGCCTAAGAGCCGATATTCCAGATGTAATTTTCTTGCAAATATTCTCAGTGTTAGTTTTCCAAGATAAATGCTGGTCAATTGTCACTCCAAGAGTTTTGGATTCATAAACTTGTTTAATTGACTCGTTTTCAATTTTCACATTTAGTTGCAAATTTGAAATACTTTTAATAATTTGTTTTGAACCAATTAACATAAACTCAGTCTTAGCAACATTTAGACTAAGTTTATTGGCAATTAGCCATTTCCTAAGTTTTTCCAAATCAGAATTCACTGCAGTTTCAAGATCAGTAATAGAGTTTCCAGAAACTGTCAGGTTCGTATCGTCAGCAAACAACCGAGGTTTTGTTTTATCCAGGCATTGAGGCAAATCGTTAATGTATAACAGAAAAAATAGGGGCCCTAAAATAGAGCCTTGTGGCACGCCACATTTGATCAATTTCTCTGATGAAACAGATCCTTGTATTTGGCATTTTTGGTTTCTATTTGAGAGATATGATTCTAGAAAAGACAGAGCTTGTCCTTTTATTCCGTAAAGCTCTAATTTTTTCAATAATATTTGATGGTCGACAATATCAAATGCTTTTTTTAAGTCAATTAAGACTACCAGGTTAAACATTTTGCGGTCTAAATTCATATACCAATCATTTGTACAGTCAAGTAATGCTGTAGCTGTAGAGTGAAATTTACGAAAACCGAATTGACAGTCACTCAGAAGTTCAAATTTGGTTAAATAATTGTATAGCTGATCGTACAGAATTCGTTCCATAATTTTGCTAATGACAGGCAGAACTGAAATTGGTCAGTAATTTCCTGGCAGGTTTCGTTGGCCATTTTTATAGAGAGGCATTACTCTAGCCGTTTTCCATTCGTGAGGGAAAAGGGATAGGATAATAGCGTGATTGAAAATATATGTGAGTGAATCTGAAATAGCAGGTGCAGCTATTTTAATAATTTTACTGGAGATCTTATCAATGCCAGTGGCTTTGTTGCTAGAAAGACCATGTAAAAGATGGTAGACATTGCTGACAGTGACTGGCTGGAATGCACTGAATTCTGATTTAGTCTTTTCAATATATGTTACTTTGAAAGTTCAAATTTGGAGTATCAATTTTGCTAGCTAGATCAGGGCCAATATTTGAAAAATAATTATTAAAGCCCTCCACAATATCTTTGGTATTTGTCAAACTATTTTCACCTAATTTTAACTCATTTACTACTGTTGGTTTGCTTTGCTACCTAGTATATCGTTTATAGTTTTCCAAGCCTCTTTAGGATTCCATTTTTGATCAGAAATTTTAGTGGAATAATAATTCTTTTTAGCATTTCTTAGCTGAATATTAACTTTAATTGTTTCTCGTTGTTTTGTAATTTAACCAGTCTATCTCTAGGTTTGTAATAATGGCCTTTCTTTTTAATCTGTCCCTTGTGATTATAAGTTGCTTTATAGCACTTGTAATCCAAGGAACTTTTTTTCTTCTAAGCAAGGAACATTTTTGTTCTAAATTATAGAAACACTATTATAGAAATTAGGTGTTAGGGATTTAGAAGATAATATGTTAAAGATTAAAAAGATATTTTTTAAGTTTTTTCCGAAAACTAATGGACAATATCCAATTTTTAATTTGCTTGCTGCAAATACGCGTATTTATAAACAGCAATTAATTGCAATCAATGCCAATAGCAAACAAAACAACTAGCAAAATTTATGAACTCCATTCGAACAGTGCATGTTGTGACCAAATGTTGTGCCAGACCGCGTACACTACTTTATTACCATATACCGGTACTTTCGCTTAAATCTTGAAGCTTGATGATTTTACTGTCGTTCCAATTGAAGTGTTGCTCAAATATTGATTCAATACATTACTTCGGGCAGACCAATTCATTTCATCAAGTTCCTCGAGATATTCATACACTTCCTGTGAAAGAGCCAATTCCAAGTATTTGATCATCTCTGGTCACTTCCTTTCTATCTATGATTGGTTAGTTGCACAAACAACAAAGGTGATTGGTGCATTCAAACTATTCAACAGGAAGTTTACAATTATACTAGGAAGTGTATGAATATCTCAAGGAACTTGATGAAATGAATTGGTCAGCCCGAGGTAATGTATTGAATCAATATTTGAGCAACACTTCAATTGGAACGACAGTTATTTAGTAACACGTATGCTTACTTTTCAAAGTTTCAAGCATCACCTTTCAACAATGAAACTGTACTGTTTACACACGGATTAAATTTGATACTCGCAAAGCATATTTTGACTACGCAAGTCAATGATCAAAACTTGATAATTAAAACATCACTGTTGAAAATGCGTACATGTGAAAGATCCATTCGCGGGAAAAAATGTCGAGACATATTTGAAAGTAGGTCGGCAAAATTTTGCCACATATCACTTTGCAGGCCTGAGTTTCAAGGACTGCATAAATAACGTCGAATCAACATTATGAGTGGGTGGGTTTTATAATATATATGAACTTATTGACATAATCTCGTGGCAATTTGACAATTAATACCCCTGAGTTTGGAAATTTTGCGGCCGAGATTTCGAAAATTTAATAGTAAATATATAGAAAGCATCAAAATTGTATGCCCAATATCGTGGCCATGCAATACAAACTTTCCACACTGGTAATAATACCCAAAGTAACTAATTTTGAATCATAAATATGAAAGTCAAAATACGACTGAATATTGATCGACATTTTCTGGAGTGGGTGGGTGGGTGAAAAAATAACTTCGATTCAACGTTATTTGTGGCAAGATAAATATGGACGTGGCCCTAAGTTATTCCATAGGTGCTTGTCTTTAAGGGGCCGTCGACATATAGATTTCGTCCCGCATCGCGGACTTGAGCCGTGATTGTTTGAACCCCCTCCCCCCCTACCTCATCGTGGACAAGTAAAAAACCCAAAGAGAATCGAAATTATGGTCCAAAATATTATCCGAAATATGACTGTGAGCGGTCTACTATAGGCAAGAATACAGTATGTAATGCTGACTTTTAACATTACAATCAGCTTGTAATAAATAAAAACTAGTTTCCGTATTGTTTAGCAGTTGTAAGCAACATAAAATTTAAATAAATACCCGATTTGTTGTTCACAAATGCAATATTTATATCCCCGATTGAACGAAAGAAAGGTTGTGTCGAACTGCGAACTATAAAGTCAGAAAAGTTAACACAAAATATTCGGCCGCGATCAGTTATTCCAGCGGCAACAAAAATCAAATTGGAATTAACCGTAATGGGTTTCGTCATAGGTTATGTACTTCGAAAATGGAAATATCAAACGACAAACGAAGTATTGTTGTTGAGCTGTGTCCGCTTTTTGCCTCCAAACTTTTTGTGAGTATATTATTTAAAATGTACTACATTTCCTTCTGATCTTCGTATTATATTTCTAAAGTCAGTTTTCGTCCCAAATATTTTGTAATCAAGGATTCTAATCTACCCCCCCATCGCATTGTCGACGGTCCCAAACAAAACTAGCCTTTATATACCAAACTATCACTTCATAAATTGTATAAACTATTATCATTCTTCCTTTTGTCTTCTGACAACGACTTAGTTTATTTTTCTCCGCATATAAACTGAGTTTGTACTTAATACAACATAATAAATATACATGTGTGATGTGTATAGCGTGAAGACAATATGCATCGAGTTTATAATAAAACTCGAATCGGAGAGTGAGGTAACAATTTCAATGCATAAAACTTAAGGTTGTTCAAAGCATATAAATATTCTAAAGTAACAATATACAAACATGATATGAACAATTAAACTACGGAGCTGGACACTATACCTCGTTCAAAGCGTCTTGAAGTTGGCTCACTCGATCCGCCATTTTAGCCACCACTACCAGACGTCACTGCACGTAACATCTTCGACACATCTTCGGAAATGATTTGAAAATCTTGGGTTGCTAAAATCTTCAAAGCAATCTTCCGTGTGTTTATCATACCAGTATATGGTGTTTATAAACATGGAAATATTTTCCCAGAAATCTAGTCTGGATCAAGGGTAGTTCTGGCTTTCGTTGGTAGAAATGCAACTACCTGAAAAAATATAAAGGACGATTTCGACATTTCAAACTATTAAAGGGCGCCTTCTGCCTCTTCGTCTGGAGTTTGAAAGCAGAAGTTTTGAAATGCACAGACAAGCAGAAGTGCACAAACCAAAACATTAATCCAGCTTTGACCACTTCGAAGCAGCTATCCAGTTCAACATTAGAGATCAAAAGATCAACGCACGAGCCCCTGCAATATTAAGGGGGCCCCCTTATCTTCTGTAGTTCTTTTCTGTTGGAGCTTTTAGCCAAGTCAGATTTAGTAAATTCCCTCTCTCAGTAATCTTTCGCGTGCACTTCGTTTCGTGTCCTAATCGACTTAAAAAGTAAGTAAAATACTCTAAATAGCGTATCCTTGTATTTGTTGTTCATGAAGGACAGTTGGTTGGCTTGTTAGCTTATAATATTGAAGAATATTGCTCTTTGCCATTTTGTGATTTTTGTCCACGTGGGCAGTATATACTGTATTTATAAAGAAGGAACATGATAGAATGCTTGTGATACATGTACCCAGAGTAAGGGGCTGTTTATATGGAAGCGAGCTAGCCCGGGTACCCGAGCTAACTCACTTCCCCAAGATGAATTTCACCAGGCAAATATACATGAAACTTTTGGGGCGGGCCGGCGGGCTGACTTGTGAAAACAAATACAATTTTTTGTGGGAAAGTCAATTTGGATTTTGGGCATGTGCACACAGACATTATTTTACTTAAAAGCCAAACCAGCTCGGGTAAATGTGTTTATATGGAAAACTACCCAGCCCATTTACCCAAGGTCTCTGGTCACACAAAGCGGGACGCCGGTAAGAAGGGCTGCTCGGTTCTCATATAAACACAAGAGCCCTTTGACCTTTGGAATACTAGCCCAATGCTCTGCCAACTGAGCTACGCGGTCAGGACGGTTCGAGTAGTTGGCAGAGCATTGGGCTAGTATTCCAAAGGTTGTAGGTTCGATTCCCACCGTGGCCGGGCATATTTTTCAAGCTCGCCCGGTGTGGATATACACTCAGAGTAACATCACAAACATCACTGTAAAACATGTTTGACTGTGATAGGGTGTCATACATGCAATATATATTTTCTATATAATTTATCCCCCAGATAGATTGTCTATTAAGATAGATAGAATTTTACACAACCATGTTTTGCTCTCATAACAGTTACTGGATGCTTGGCAACCTATCTATTACATGTACATTCCATATAGGGTTTATTTATGCTTATATTTGGTTCTCACAGTACATTTTTGGCTTATTGAGGTGGTAGGGTGTTTTTAATACATCCACTTTGAGCGTTGAATTTAGTTTAAATTTGTTTGACATACTATTCTTTGCAGATGCGTTACGTGGCCGCATACCTGTTAGCCAACCTTGGTGGTAATGATTCACCTTCAGTAAAAGACATCAAGAAAATCTTGGAAAGTGTGGGAGTCGATGTTGATGATGAAAAGCTGAAAAAAGTTGTGTCAGAATTAGATGGAAAAGATGTCAATGAGGTATTTATCCTGCCTCCTATTTCAAGCCCATCTCTAATTAGCCTCCCCTAGGCCTCCTACCCTTTTGAGAGGAAGAGTATTACTCCAAGCCTTCTCTCCATTCTCAAGGCCTGCCAAGTGGGGATCAGAGGGCACTTTGTAGGCTGGATTGATATACCGGATATATCCGATATACCGGTATTTGTTTAGATACCGGTTTGGCGATATTGACAATTTAAAAATACCGATATACCGACATTTCGGTATTTTACTGCCTAATACCGAAATGAAACGCTCTTTCAAGTCAAACTTGCTTACAATCACGTTTAGAAAGCAAAGTTGATACTCACAGATGCATGATTTTGTTCTTACAGTTCTAGCGGCTTTGGTTTAGCAATACCAGACGTCTTGTTTATTAAATCGCCTTAATCGGAAATATAAAAATGGCGAAATTTTTAAAGGAAAATTTCGACAAAAAAGAAAACTTTGATTTTGGAAGGTGGAAGTACTAGCATTTGCGAAGCAGCGAAAACCTTTTCTGGATTTTCAAGTTTTTTTACATGCTTGCTAACTTGTTTATGTGTTAGTTTTAAAAATGCAACGTTTTTTTATGTTTATAACTATTAGCAGCTTTAGTGCTGTGCAAACTCCGGTTTTTCATCTCCGGCTCCGGCTGAATTACAGCTCTGAGCTCCGGCTCCGGCTCCGGCCACATCATAAAATATTAAATAAATGTTTTACGATCAGAGAACATTTATTAATATTATTATGAATAACCCTTTTCGCGCTTCCTAATTATCAGATAACATAACTCAGGAAACAAAACAGTGAAAACACTTAAATTAACCACGCTGAAAATATCTATATGGAAACCAGCCTCGAAAAATCTTTGACACGAGGCATGACGCGAGGCATGACGCTAACACTCTCGGACTCCACGGCGCAATTGTTCGCACGCAAACAAAGTGCTCTGTCATTTTCAAAAGGTTGATATTTATTTGTTTTGTACTTTTTCGTTATCTACAAGGCATGAATACACAGACTACAGTATGTAGGGCTAAGTCAGATGGCTTCATGAAAGCATGACGTTTGTAAGTTGCGATCGTATTACAGCTTTTCGACGCTGTTCCTGTGGGCTGTGGCAGTTTGAGTCTATGATGAATTCATTAACAGCAATTGGCAGTTTGCAGTAACTAACAATCGTTTGACATTTGTCTCATTTCATATTGTTTTCTTGTCATTTTGCCGGAGCTGGGAATACGTAACTCCGGCTCCGGGCTCCGGCATACAAAATTCTGCTCCGGCGTCGGAAAAACCGCCGGAGCTCCGGCAGAACTCCGGCTCCGGCAACTCCGGCGCACAGCACTAAGCAGCTTACTGAAACACTATCTGAATTTATATACAAAACGAATATTTTTCTGAATGATTCAACACTTCGACGCCCAATCGACGGCCTACTATTAAATAATTGCCGCTTAGCGCTGTTAATTGTTAACATAGCTTGATAATGCGAATCTTGTGACATTTGCACTAATAACAGTATGTGCCACATTAATATTTTGTCAAAACTTGATTTTTCTTGACAGTCAGCACTTCAGTTTGGCTTAAAGTGCCACTGCGATGGAAAATTGTGCTGTCTTTTTATTGTATATTCAGAAAGTATATCAGTAGATAAACAAAATTACCAAATATCAGCGTCCAATTCCATTTCTTTCTGCCTTTTTTTTCAACGCAAACATGCAAATTTTTCGGCCGCCATTACTGAGTTGCCAATTAGCGAGATGTTGATTTCTTAGCCGGATGTGACGTCATTTACTCAACACGCTTCTTTCCCGAAGGAGAAATTAATATTATCAAAGGCTTTATATTCTAGGCTGTTTTTTGTTCAAAATTATGTCTTCTGACGAAAGCCACAGCTCAAATTTTGCAACACAATCATCTTGCGAACTCTCTTTTGCCGAAGACGTTTCTTGTGATAGCGGGGGTGATGTAAATATGGAGAAAAGTGTGAATTTGTGCGAGGCCTATGATGCTTCAGTCGAAGCTCTTGCCACTGAAGAAACATAATACATGAAGAGTACTATACCTGAGCGAGAGCAAAAGCAGCAAACACTGTCTGCTAGATTGTCTGGGGAAACGTCAACTGACACCTGGTACGTTTTGGATTGTATTTATGTACGTTTTGGTTATATTTGTGACATAAAACAAACATGTGATGGCCATTAAAAACAAAACAAATGGTTTATACTCGTCGCCTTTTAAAATATTATTGTCACCTCCGTTATTGCACGAAACGTCTTCAATGAGAGATGGCTTAAAGATTACTGTGTTGCCAAATTGGACTCGGATTCACATAGGAAAACATATTACTTTGCACAAGGTTGTTAACCGTTGTTGGAAATATACTTCAATTATATATACTTCAATTATAATATTTTCTGTGTTGGTGTAATGTACTCAGGTGAAATGCTGTAAATGTGGTATTATAACTGTGTCCTGGCTCATTGTTGTTTATGTGAACCTTGTATAAAAGCTGGAAGAAAACATGCATGACCGCTGCTTAACTGAGCATCCAGCATTTGATATTGGTTGTTTGAAACATTGGGTGTTAAAACTTGCTGGTTTAAGTTACAAAACCAGAATAAAAGGCTGCCAAATGATACCACTCTGTATACCAAACGGAAGAAGAGTGAACCAGAGTATTTCAGTGTCTAGTTCTAGGCAATACCCCCCCCCCCCCACCCCCTAATGGAAGAGATTTACTTAATTATGAATCCCATCCCTCTAGATTTTTGTAACTGTCACTGATGCTTGTTTCCCCCTTCTCTATGGAAATTGTGGACAGTTTTTTACTACTATCATACTTTCAAGCATGATGTCGGAGTTTTTAAAAAATAACTCTGTAAGATACAACAATACAACATTGTTCGCTTAAACAACACAGAAACCGTATCTTGGCATATGCACAGCAAGGAATGAGGTACCTTCTTGAACTGCTGGTATAGCCCCACACAAGCTTCACTACTTGCCGATATGCAACTGCCCTAAGAAACCTTTCAATAAGAACATTTATATATTAACATGACAGCTTTAAAATTTAGTAATCCCAAAACTATCATGTCATTTGTGAGCTGTGTTCTGCACAAAAACACCAGGATTCATAATACAAGATCCTTGTTTAGTTTACTTATAACTTAGCTTTTGGCCTTTCAAGTTTTCTTGTTCACATGATGGGATGTTTCAGTACCTTGCTCATCTTTACAGGGATTCAAACATTACTAAATCCAGAATATGATACTCAGATCATGACATTGTATCAGTTTGACTGCCCCTGGCTGGTGAGAATTTCTTACCACTCATCACCAGAGTAGGGAGTGCTCTTTTTCTCACCCACCTACCTGGCAATCATTAAAGAAAAACATGCAAATGTCTGGGGCTAGCCTTTTGAGGAAATGCTTAATGCCAAAAAATACTGATACGTATGACTCAAATTGCATAGTTCCAGGAAATAGCCATCCCCCCCCCCACTCTGCCACAGAAGGGATTGGAAATTCAAGAGGATAGGGGGTGTCATTGTATCAAGATTTCCAGTGGAGTGGGGGTATACTAAAGTCTTGATATTTCCAGAGGGTATGCAAATACAACCAATATCAAATGCTGGTCATGCATGTTTTCTTCCAGCATCTTTTCCTTACAAAGTTCACATAAACAACGACATTCATCGGGGTTTACCACAAAGGCCAGGACACATTTTAATACCACATTTACACCTATGGACCATTAAAATATTAAAGTATGCCGACAATTAGAATATATATATATATATATATATATATATATATATATATATATATATATATATATATATATATATATATATATATATATATATATATATATATATATATATATATATATTGAAGCATATACCATATCATCAATTAAATTAAATTATATTTCCTACAACTTTGTGCAAAGTAATATGTTTTCTTACGTGAATCCGAGTCCAATTTGGCAACACAGTAATCTTTAAGCCATCTCTCATTGAAGACATTTCGTGCAATAACGGAGGTGACAATTATAATATTTTATAAGTCTTATAAGGAGACGAGTATAAACCGTTTGTTTTGTTTTTAATGGCCATCACATGTTTGTTTTATGTCACAAATATAACCAAAACGTACTAAATACAATCCAAAACGTACCAGGTGTCAGTTGACGTTTCCCCAGACAATCTAGCAGACAGTGTTTGCTGCTTTTGCTCTCGCTCAGGTATGGTACTCTTCATGTATTATATTTCTTCAGTGGCAAGAGCTTCGACTGAAGTATCATAGGCCTCGCACAAATTCACACTTTTCTCCATATTTACATCACCCCCGCTATCACAAGAAACGTCTTCGGCAAAAGAGAGTTCGCAGGATGATTGTGTTGCAAAATTTGAGCTGTGGCTTTCGTCAGAAGACAAATTTTGAACAAAAAACAGCCTAGAATAAGCCTTTGATAATATTAATTTCTCCTTCGGGAAAGAAGCGTGTTGAGTAAATGACGTCACATCCGGCTAAGAAATCGACACTTCGCCAATTGGCAACTCAGTAATGGCGGCCGAAAAATTTGCATGTTTGCGTTGAAAAAAAAGGCAGAAAGAAATGGAATTGGACGCTGATATTCGGTAATTTTGTTTATCTACTGATATACTTTCTGAATATACAATAAAAAGACAACACAATTTTCCATCGCAGTGGCACTTTAAAAAAAAACTCGTTAAAAATACCGGAATACCGGTATTTACCGGTATTCTGATGGCGGTATATCGGTATTCGGTATTTGCGATATCGATCCAGCCTAGCACTTTGTCCGGGCCCCCAGCTCAAAAAAGACTCCCAAGCAACAAAGGCTCGATGCACTTTTCAATAAACGATTGATTTTCATTGGCTTTTTTGACCCAGACCTAAAAAAATACCTGTGGTTCCAGTTTCATATCATGGAAAAAAATTAGGGTCAGTAGGTCGGAAATAAAATTTTTTTTGAATATTTTTTCATGGTTTTGGCGTTTTTTGCTGGGCGATTTGCAGTAGAGTCCCGACATCAATATTAACTAGAGATGCGTATTTCCTATGGACGAATTTAGGCAATTTGGTTAAATAATTAGTGTGACAACAGACGCATTTTGGCACGCTGTATGAGCAGCCTGCAACCACCTGGAGAAAATAAGGTCGCACGGTCAATCACATTGAAAAAATAATAGGGTCGGCAGAAAAAATAGGGTCGGGAACCAGAACCACAGGTATTTTTTTCAGGCCCCAACACAATTTATTCACAATTACCGCAAAAGGTTGCAACAACAGCCTGTTTGATTCAAGAGGAATTGTCTGGAGCTACAAGTATGATTCCTCTTGGATAAAGCAGGCTATTTTTTGGCAACCTTTCGAGGTAAAAATATAGCTGCTCTATTTATATGATATCAAGCACTCTTTAACATTTTGTGAACCGAAACACACTAAAAGTTATTCTCAAGCTTTATTACTCAGAAAATACTTATGAGTCCTCGACCGGGGATCGAACCTGTGACCTCTTAGTGTCTAGATAAGCGAGCTAACCAACTTACCACCTGCACCACCGAGAACTTGGGTACTGGACGAGGCGATCTGGTTCGAGTAATGACATGTCTGCTTCGTACCTGAATCTTGTCTGAATAATTAATTGTTGTGTAATACTAGATGTGATGTTATTGTAAGCATTTAGTTAATAGTCTAGTTTGTATAACAAGAAAATACTTCTGAGTAGGGATCAACCCCGCCTCTAGGGGTGCACCGGAACCAATTTTTTCACGTAACGCATCTGGAAAAAAGTCGCACCGGAACCGGTTTAGTAAGCCAAAAATAGTCATACGTTACTTTGTCTGCTGCCAGACACTTCATGTCATCAAGGAGAGAACTTGCAAATGTTAGTAGAATAAAAAGATTGACATACGTTAAAGGACAATGGCAATAAATTTTTTTATTCTCGATATCTATTAAACATACCTACGGAATACTTAATTACGTATTTTCACTTGTCTATCGCGTTTAGTTGTTCAGAAATATCATAAAACTTTCTAGTCGTCCGCCATCTTGAAAAAAACCTGGTATGCTAATTTATGTGAGAATAAATTTGTGACGTCAAGAGCAGGGGAAACAAATATTGTCAATATAAAATAGTATGCGTGCGAACACATTCTACGAAGATTTTGACCAAAAAGTGCGGATGAACTCCAAATTTTTTTGTATAACTGCGTAAAAATTTAGCGCTACTACTCTACTGTGTGTTTCAGCTGTGTTTTTGAAATAAACGCGTTGATTTCGGCGGTAAAAGCTCTTAGATTATAAATGATTGGCCATATGCATAGTCTGGTACTATGTCAATATGACAATATGCTCGCCTACTTTGTGGACTTTTATATTTACTGTTCTCGGTGATCACGGCTATGACCACATCAACAGGAACAATATCGCATAAATAAATACTATAAAATGACTGAGAATATGTTTTGATTCTTTGCAATTCGCGTGCAAAAATCGTTTTGATGTTCTTGTGATATAAATAATGAGAACAAATTTGTTTATAAACTTAATTTTAATAAAGCATTAATATATACACCACTGCACTTT